TAGAACCCTAGTGCACACAGGTCCTCAGAGAATCTCTCTCTCTCAAAGGAAGATAGCTCAGTGTGTGGCTTAAGAGGGCACCAATCAGTCAGTACCCCATCTCCTCAGGAGAAGCAGAGAAAGGAGCTTTGAATGCCTTTCCTCAGAGGTCAATACCAACCAAGACTCTAACCTGAGAATGGTTACCTGTGTCAGTCAACCTAGAAGGGAGCTAAGAAGTTTACATTGCTCAGGCCAAGACCTTCTCTTTTTTTTTATGGGAACAAGTAAATGATCGGTTCTCAAAAATCATACAATGCAGCCAAAATAATGTGGCTTGAAAACATTTCAAAGTGATATCAGTCACTACAACCGTAGAAAAATATCAGTAGCATAGGCCTAATGTGATTGACGGTGCATCCTTGGGGATCTATCAGGGCAAATTAGTTGCAAAATGTATACCTAGTTACTAAAAATTGATTTGTTACTAACTATAGAGTTCAGTTAAATAATACCAAATTAAAGAAATTTTCCATTTTAACACTCCATAGCTTTTAACTTTTCTGATTTCATCACTTAATTAATAGTAGTGGATAATTAGATAATTATGGTCATAATAGAATTTCTAATAAAATTACTAATAAAGCCAGCATAAAGGAATACATTAACATTGAAGCCCAGATAGGATAAAGTTTTATTATGTGTGGTAAAAGAGTGACAGATATTTATGTGTTCTTTCAATTTTCTTTCATAGATTTCTTAAGAATTTTAGTATAACTTAGTCTGATGAAACAATGTTAAGTGAACTTGTTACTATGGAGGGGAAATTTATCAATAGGCCAGGCAGTTTCTTAGCTTTAGAATATAGTAGTTGACTTTGGGGAAAAAAATTTTTTTTCTAGTTATATTTTATTAGAAACCCTCATTTTCTGCCGTACATTGATTGAAAGCTGGAGAGATCTCCTTGGTAGGTACTAGGTGTCAGGAGAGAGTCAATTTGCCACTAGTTACTTGCATGTGGATAATCTAGAGTCAGTTAAATTTTATTTTTTTTAAAAGTTCGTTTGTTTTTAGAGAGAACACATGCTCCTGTGGCAAGTGCATGCAGGAGACAGACAGAGAGAGAGGGAGAGAGAGAATCTGAAGGAGGCTCTGCACCGTCAGGGTCAAGCCCAATGAACCCATGAGATCATTACCTGAGCAGAAGTCAAGAGTTGGATGCCCAACTGACTGAGCCCCCCAGGTGCACCTAGAGTCAATTAAATTTTCAAACTGAACATTTCATTTGGTCAGTACCTTTTTAACCTTTCTGTAGATTAATGATATAAATTCTCCAGAACTGATGTGTTTTCCTAAAGTAGCATCATCAGATCACAAGATTAGCGTTGCCTTTTGTACATATTATTGATTTCTGGTGAAATTTTAGGAAATATGTCATGGTTTAAATTTGCACTGATGTACACAAAGGAAGAAACAATTGGAAATTTCTGGATTTATGCTTACTTTGCCAAAAACAATGTTTCTTTCCCAAAAATCTTTAGCCTTATTTTCTAGAGTTCTTTTCTTAGAGTTCTCAAATTCAGTTTCTAAGAGAGATCCCTAAATGGTCAAAGGTATGTGTTGTGACATTTATGGAAATTACCTCCATAGACCGACATCCAAATATAAGCTTCCTGCCACCCAAAATATTTTTCTAAAGCCTTTGGTACCTCCTGTTTTATTTCAGTGTTAAAATTTGTAGGTACTTAGTCAAATGTTTGCATGCCCACAAATAGCAAATAGGTAAACACAAATTGTAGCTCTTACCTTATTGTGTTTTTTTTTTTTTTTAACATGCATGGGTGCTTAGAGTTGATTTTATATACACTTACTATGGTAATAGCTTCTAATGGATAAATCGTCCCATGTTCAATATGGTTACATAAAGATTTCATGGTGTTTCACATAGATAATGGTGGTTTAAGGTCCTTTGTCCCTTGGATTGAGTTTTAAAATCATCGATGAATTAAAAGATTCATCGTATCTTAGTGTCTGTGTACAGTCAAGAACTAAGACATTCCCATGTATAGTTTCTTTTCCCAACTAAGGCAGAAAAAAATTTTTTTGAAACAATTGGGAGAGTTGGGGGAAAACTATAAAGAAATGATTTGTAGCTTTGTTAAATGTTCTGTTCTCTAATCTTCTGTTGGATTCTGATGAATTCTGTAGCTCTAAGACTTACAAAGTAGTGGGCTAAAAGTTGGGATCATCCAAATTACTCAAAATACACTGTTCATGGGATCTGTTGTCCTGGATATTGATGCTTTAAATGTCCAGTGTTGGATTGTTGTCTATGAATAGAGTTTGCCAGGCTAATATATAAATTTTTTTGACAATGAGAAATGTAGTGTGAAATTTAAGGTTACGTTGTAGAGAAGTTTTTAGATTTACTACTTTTTCTAGCTGCAGATTAGGGTTGAGAGGTAGAAGTGCAGTGTCAGGGAGGACCTTTTCCTTTCATGCATGTACCTGGCACTTGTCACCTGTAAAATGTGCATATGTCATGCTGTGCTCTTTGCTTAAGAGGCTGTGCGACTCCTGTCTGGAGCATGTGGTAATTTTATCAGTCTTAGTCTGGGACATTTCATCATTTGCTTTTCTAAGGTTATGCTTGACCTAGCATTTGTGCATTTTGTAATTAATTTACAGTGAAGTAAACCATACACTAGAAAATAGGCATACATTTGGATAATAGGTGGGCTCAGTTCTTTAGGGTTTCTCATCCCTCATTTTTTTTTTTAATATTCAAAACCTAGGATTGACTTCATATCTGTAAACCTGTGTTTTGCAGGCCAGAAAAACTAATCTCCGAATAGTTTAGTTTCTCTGGATTATGTTGGTCACAATTTCATAAAATCATCGCGTGCTTATTATTTTTAACCATGCCTCATATCACCGAGAGCCCTCAACAAAGTTCATCACAGCAACGCTCAGGTGAAATGAAACAGTGGTTCTTGGGCAGGTCACAGGAAAGTTCTAGACTTGTAAACTATGAGTGGCTTGGCTTTGCTGTCAGGTTGCATGTATTTGCTACCGTGGCTGTTTTACAATGGCTGTGGAGAAACAGATTAGCAGGAGAAGATGGGGCAGATATTTCCATACTATGTGCTGCTAATGAATCCTATTTTAGTGCTTCTCACAGTGGTCTTTATATCACAAAAAATACACGTAGGGCATTTATTTTTGGCGGCTTTCACAAAAATTGTGGCGACAGTTGCTTGTGAAAATTTCCTTATGCATCAGTAGAGGCTAGACCCCAGAAACTTCTTGGAAATAGTCTACTCCGGGTTTAACATTGCTTTGACTTAAAATGCAGTTTTGTATAGTTTTCAAAATGCAAATTTTAAAACATGGGCTAAAATCTCATGCTAGAAGTCTTATTTAATGGGTATACATATCGATACCATACATTTTACTAATCTATGTGTGTCAAGGCTGACTTACGTAAAGTAGGAGAAATGTGACCCAACTTAAGATATTAGAAGACAAAAGTAAACTATACAGAACTGTTTGGCTGCTTTGTACTAATATAACGAGTTAGAAAGTAATGATGTTTGCTATTCTTTATTGTTTACCTTTATTTAAAATCATTTTATTTTTCTCGATAAATTTGATTATTTACAATTGGCAATTAAAGAGTATTAAAGAAACGGTATCCTTTTATATTTTTTCCTTATAATACATAACCATAGGCATAAACAATTGTCCTTAATATGTGATCCAGAATGTAATTTGCAATTTATGCTTTGATTTATTTTCAGCCTTTTGCTAAAATTGTACCTGTTATATTCATTATTCTATTTTAAGAAATGTGTCAACATCAAGATATGGTGAGTTCTTTTAAAGTTAACATCGACAACAATAAGATACAAAACACTAATTTATTATGAACCTGACGAATATGAAAAATATCTCTAACAAGCATATATGTATATATAGACACACATATATGTGTGTGTGTCTGTATGTATATATATATGTGTTTGTGTGTGTATATATTGAGATATATGTATATATATACATATATATATATGAAAAAATATGTGCCTTTAAAAATACAGAACAATAATTCTGGATCAATAGTTAAATTATTGTGTCAAATTGGGCTTAGAATATTTTTCATCTGGTATTACCCTAAAAAAGGCTTCATTCACTGAATTTTAATTTATGAAAATAAGTACATAAATCAAAAGTTAAAGCCAATATTTTACGCCTTAAAGAAGGAAGGTATTAATCCACAAAGAAGTAAAAAATCCTCTCTTCCCTTACTTCTAGGACCTCTAGGCTGGTCAAATCCTAACCATTATTAGTATTGTTTCAAGTTTCTTCCGTTTACTTTCATTAAACCGGGTTATTTATGTATCTTCAAGTGAAATGGCTGAGCTTTCACGGTAATTCTTGTTGCTATTGACAACCAAAGCAGCCATGCAAGAAGAAAATGCTGTGGAAGGAAAGAAAAAACAAACCTTAATATTTCCTCCCCAAAGTTGGAGAGAGAAGGGAACACAAAATATGTAAGAAACAGGTAAGTAAAGATCTATCCATTTAAAAACTACCAGCCTTGGTTACTAATTGATTCACAGTTCTAATTTTTTTCAGATATTTTGTCCAACACTCATTTAAATAAAAGGATACTGTCTCTTGGGACCAAAAATTAATATTCTGAAAATGAAAAATTGGATTGGAAAGGTACAGTGCCGTGAGCGGTCTGAAATCTTCTAATTTAGAATTTGGACTATGAAAGAATAGCACAACTTCACTTGGTTAATATTTTTGTTACAAAATGTTTTTTAATGACAAAATGGTGACTAAAATATTACTATTTTAAACATGTCCTAGATTTTTTTTTTTTGTTTCAGAAAAGCACTGAGAGTTGAATATGTGTAAGTCTCCGGGAATGTAACAAGTTGCTAAATACCCAAGTCCAGCCTCCTAACAGAGAAAAGATCTGGAATTTCTTTTTTTGGACATTTGTTTTGCAGCTTTCTACGTCTTAAGGCAGAGAATAGCCAGGATAAGGTGCCAGCTCAAAGGTTAGATGAACATATTTCTTGAAATAATTTTGGCTAATCTATGTCTTGAAAGGCATAACCTCTAAATAATAACTTTACAAAGCTATCAATAAAACTTAACCTTAGTTGTGTTTTTGAGTTGCCTTTTTTGGGGAAAACTATATTTTTTAGAGATGTACTCTTCATAATTATGTAAGTTAATTTTATTTCAGTTATTACATTAAACTTTTCCCTTTCAGTTTATAATTCCTTTCTCCTGTCTTATGAATCTAATAAATTGACCTCCATTCTAACTTAAAGGACAGTTTATATTTTTAATACTTAAAGAAGCAAATTTTAAAAAAGTGCACCAAATGAAATTACTAACACCAGCCTATCATTAACCTGAGGGAATTGTATCTCATATCATTAATTCTCCGTGGAAGAATTCAGGTAAGAAATATTTTTATTGTGTAAAATATAAAAGATGTTATAATAGGACTTAGCAGTGTTCATGTTGTTTTGGTACAAAAAGGTTCCTCATTTAAAATATTTTTGGAAGTGAATAATGTCACTTAACAAATCACCCTTTTGACACTTTAGTGGAAGATTCTGGTGAAATAGGTGAAATTCTCTTTAGTGGAATTGGGGCCAAGAAGGCAATGTACTTTAAACTGATAGATAAAAGACACTAGCACATGTCATAGAAAATGTTTTTAAGAGAGGATTTTAATAAAAACATTTTGGGGAAAATTTGATAGTGCTAGAAGTAAAAGTTAAAGGGTTTCTTTGTTCAAGGGGATTTAAAAATAATCACAGTGTATGTATTTTATAGTTAGTAAGAGCTAATAGGTTTAACTAGCAGAACTACGGCTGAAGTTAAGGAAGCAATGCCAGAGAAAGTGCTGTTGAGCCTTGAACAATAGAGGTTTGAATGCACCGGTACACTTATGCATGGATTTGTTAAAAATACAGTACAGTACGATAAATGTATTCTCCTTTCTTAATAACATTTTATTTTCCCTAGCTTGCTTTATTGTAAGAATACAGTATGTAATATATATAGCATAGAATAGGTGTTAATCAACTGTTTATGTTATCGGTAATGCTTCCAGTCAAAAATAGGCTATCAGTAGTTAAGTTCTTGGGGAGTCCAAAGTTATACACAGAATTTTGAGTGCAAGGCGGTTGGCACCCTTAACCCCTGTGTTGTTTAAGAGTGAACTGTAGAATGTGTCACCAACAGACCTAGGTTCAGGACCTATTCCTGTGACTTACCAATTATAAGATAATAGACATTTTATTTAACTTTTCTGAGCCACAATTTCCTAATCACTAGATCTACTTTGCAAATTGTCACTGGCTATGGGTGCCTCATGCAGAACAATTCTTGATAAATGTTTGCTGTTATTAGTGTGTGGTCAATATGTAGAACATATAGAGTGTAATGATATATAACTATATATGGAATACTTTGAACACCTTAGTGTTTGACTAGGGTCCTTCCTAATATCCACAGATTAGCATGTTTTTAAATACATTTGTTCTTATGCCCATTTTTTGAAAGCAATCAACTGGAAGTGGATTTCTCATATTATTCATTTCTAAAAATAAAATTTTCATTGAATAGCTGTCTGTGTTTCTGAACCATTCTTTTTCCACGTCTCTAATAATATCCATTTGCAAACCTCAGAGGGGAGTATGGATTTGGTTAGCTAACCAAAGGAAAAGGAACCGGAAGAAACTAGAATTCAATTGTAGAATTACATTTAGAGTTGCTATGACTTATTTGACAAACATTTGAGAAGTTAGTGGAAGCAAGGACCTAAGTTAGGTGCTGGGAGAGATTGAAGGATTAGTAAAACATAGACTCTCTTTTGTGAGGAGCTAATTTGGTAAGATGATTGTCTCTTAATTCCTGCTAGGATTCTAAAGTAGGAAAGAGTTTGGAACAAAGAGTTGAGACTGTTCAGAGGAAGAGACACTTCTTGCTGGAGAGGATCCAGGAAGATTTTATGGACTGGGTGGTGTTTAGTTGATTTATTCATTGTACAGAAATATGCTGAGTGCTATTACCTGCTTGATGTCTCTGCACTGCAGATATCATTGCAATGGGATGAAGCTCTAGGCATCCATGTTGTTCATTGTCAGTGTTGAAGGTGCACATATTAGGACAATACTGGGTGAGAGGTGTGTTTTGCTATAGGGTACAGCAAAAGCTGTATTAGCTGTGCTAATAGGTCAGATTTTGCATACAGGTGAACTTGGTTTCCCTTTCAGAGTATTTTAACATTTCTTGAAATAGTTGCCAGTGTTTCACAGGAAAAATGGTTGTCAGCATCAGATTTTGTTGCAAAATCGGGAGTCCTGTATTGCTGCCGGGAATCGGTGGGCTGGGGTTGGTTGCTCAGTGGCTGTCCTGTTTGGCAAAAGCATGTACTCCATTTTGCCACGTGGCTTACTCCTTCAGGGCAAATGCCTGGGACCTATAGGCATTTGAGGTTCTGGGGCTAATTTCTGAATGTTTTCCTGATTGGTAGTTTAGAGAACAGCCGCTTGAGGCTCAGGATTAGAGGCGATTACAGTAAACCTGGTGAGCAGTTAGGTTTTATCTTAAGTAGTGGTGGTGAGAACACAGAGAAGGATAGGGATTGAAAGATACTGTTACAAAAGGAGGGAGAGGCATGTAGCATTAGGACAGTGGTGGGGAGCTCGGGCTTTGCAGACACCCACTGCTGGTGTGGCAGCTACCGCCACTGTGAACTGTGTTTTTGAGAAACGTACTGCACCTTTCTTAACAACAGCTTCTTTTTTGGTAAAGTGTAGGTGAGAGCCCTACCTCATAGGTTTTTATGAGGATCAAATGAAAAAATGCTTACAAAGCACTTGGCTTAGTAACTGCAGCATATGTTAATTCGCATTCAGTAAAATGGTGGCTGATGATGATGGTTGTGAGGAATGTAGAAGATGGAATCAAGGATGATGCCCATTTCTGGTGTGTTATTCTGTGACCTAGAGAACATTGAAGAAAGTGCAGGTGATGACTTCCATGTTCAATGTGCTATGTTCGGAGGGCTTGGTGAGACTTTGCAGTGGAGGGTGTGGTATGTGATTGGTCTAGAGCTCAGGGGCGAGATCTGAGCGGGACCCAAGCTGTGATCTGGTGATCTCTGCACCAGAGTCTTACAAAGCTTCCCTCCCCTCCGTCAGCTTCTTCAGTCAGCATTGATAATCATCGCTACTGTGTCCATAGAGGATCAACTTAAACGGTGTATGAAGAATGTGGGAGAGGGAAGATAGTACATTGCATGTTGGTTGAAATGTTATCTACTAGTTTTAAGTTTTTGAAAACCATTTTGACCAGGGAAAAAAATCACCCTGTACAAACGTTACATCCTTTTTCCCCCTCTCGGTTGGCTTTTTCTCTTTTACATCACGGTGACTCCTAATTCTAGGCAAACATTCAACTCAAAGTGAATCATTGTTAGGAATAAATGGCCACGCTTATTTTGGAAGTTTGTATTCTTTCTTAATTCTTGTTTTCTTTGCAAACGTTTTGAAAATCAGCCCTGCCTCAAGTTCTAGCTTAGATGCTACCTTCTCTTCTCTGCCTTCCTTACCTTAGCAGTGGGAATTCTCCTTTCCTTTCTGTGCATTTAGCTGTAACATATGCCTGGAGCTTGTCTCACACTGCCCTGCCCAGTGGTTATTTGTAGATCTGTGTCATTCGTTCTGCTAGACCGTTAGTTCCATGAAGCTACTGTCAGTGTCTCACGTATTTTTATATCCAGTGCGGTAACTTCCACTGTGTCTTGTGCAGTTCAGCTCAGCTCGGCACACTTGTGAAGGTGTAAGGACCAGGACCTCTGTGAACAAGGGACGAAAAAGATACACAAGACATAATCTCAAGAACTAGATTGTGGTTTTCAGGAAGGACAATTTACTGGAAAAAATGAATATATTGAATTTGCCTGTCTTATGACCTTGTTACATATCATAGATCTTAACTCTTTATGAAGGTTCCAAAAAGAAATTGAAAACACATAAAATATAGTCTGATTGTGGCATCTGCTGTTTACAATCCATTGATGGTTTGCAATTATGGATGGACTCCTGATTCTTTGAGTGTAAGGCCCTCCAGGCTGACAACTGCCTTAATTTTAAAGGATTATTTTCTGCTGTATAGGCACTGTGAGAGTGGACTGCTATTGTATTTCCAGACTGTCTGCTGCTTCTTGTATCTCTGGATTCTCTTACGCTGCTGGCTCTGCATGAAAGGCACTTCACCCATCCATGTGGTGAATTCCTACTCGTCCTTTAAGATTCAGTTCACATTTCCTCTTGTAAGCTTTTCCTGACAGTTTTTGCTACCCCTCCCTCTTTACAGAGAAATCTTTTTTTTCTGTATTCTCTTAACACCTTGTACACCTGTCATATCCGTCTTTGTTGGGAGACTGTATGCTGTTTCAGAGAAGGTACTGTGTATTTAAAGAGCTCCAAGTCTAATGGAACTAGATAAGGAAAATAGCTAATGATGATACATAAATAACTTATGATAGAGGTATGTGCAGAGGCTTATGAAAGCAAGGGCTCCAAACTCAGAATGAGGGTCTAAAGCAAAGTGGAGATGGTAATGTTTAACCTGAGTAGTAGTGATGCCTGAGTAGATATTAGTCCAGCAGACAATGGAAAGAAGCACATTGCATAGAAAAGAATGGAAGTCTCAGAGTGTGTTGTTTTCTGGGAATTGCAATTAGTTGGTACTTTTGTGGATGTGATTGCAGATGAGGCTAGTGGGGTAGGCAGGGGTCAAATCAGAAATGTGGTGTTGGAGCTTGAACTACTACAATGAGCTGGGTAAACATGACAAGGAGTCGGTGAGTGAGTGAGTGTAAGGAGGAGAATATCATGGTTAAATCATGGGTTAGTGAGGTCCCTCTATTGGTAGATCAGGCCTGGATTGAAGTCCATGGTACTGGAGGCAGGAAGGCCACTGTGCCACCACTTATTTACCCAGTCCTTCACTGATGGTCATTTAGGTT